ATCAATAATGAATGAAATTCAATAGTTAAAGAGTAAATTATTAGTATACACGTATATCTGCCTGAAGATGGTTTTTTATAAGCCGAAACATGCAGCAAGATACCACTGAAATCAATAAACTCGTTATACAGAGTTAATGTGAAAGAGATTTTGAGAGTTGTGTTGTGACGGATAAAACAATCAGTATTTACATTTTATTTCAGGTTGAATTAACTAATAGACTCGAATATGTTATGGGGTCAGTCTGAACTTTCAAATATACGAAATATTTAAGATTTGAGGCTTTCACGGAGGTGACTNAATATTCTTCAAAATATGTATGATAGTTCTATTAAGTCAAACAAGCAGTCAAACAGCCGAGAAGGAGTGGTCCTCCGACTGGATGTTAATATCCCTTGCAGTAAAAGAAGTAGAAAATTACGGAATATCACAGAGGACCAGCGACTTGGAAGACTCCTTGGCTCAATATAGGTTCAAAGTGACAGGTGTCTGTGAACTCGGTTCTGAGTCTTTGGGTTCCTTACGCTGTACATTCCAAGCTACTAGCCGTGAATTAATCTTGTATTCCTGAAATAAATGTCTGCAAGGACATTTCTAGAAGGACGTTACTTGATTCGCAACACACTCCCATGCCAACAAGTGTGGAGTGTGGCAGAAGTATTTATTCCTATAAAATATATGTGTAATTTGAAGAAAGAAGTGTATGTTCCTAGTCTAATGGATTGCAAATATGTTGTATTATTAATTATAAAATTATTACTGTGGACACTCTTCATTGTCTTAGATATGTAAATCGAGACTTGGTCTGTTAACCGGCCCAATTGTGTATGATCCCTTTTCCTTTTTACACCTGATGACGGAAATAGATCTAGCTTCCCAAATGTCGTATAATTTTAAGTATAACTACAATAATTGACAATGTCCTATATAATATATTTATAACTAAGAATAGATATCTGTTAAGAGTAAATGTGTTTCTGCACATACCAGAATTGAACTCCAGATGCACTAATTATAATATGAAAGCATAACACTGTGAAGACATTCCACAAGTTTTCCAGAATTTCTGTAAGACCTCTGCATATATTTTGTTATGTTTCACACGGATCTTAAGGGCCCTGATCAAATACAGCAGTATAATTTGTTGAGGTAGCTAATGTGATCTGACCATTGCCATGACCTTGAAGAAACTGCTATGAGGACATTAGCTTTAAAAAAAAACAATTTGTATAAGAGAAAGCGCATCACGACGAGCGGTGGTCTCTCCGTGGTCTTACTCAACGAATGTAAACTTCGGTTAGACGAAACACTCAAAAGAAGATCATGTAAGTACAAGGAGAATGAATCCTTAGGCTCTGAGTCCCATTGTCACGGATTGCCGAAGGACATTACGTGTATATATTGTCCCATTGTTGGGTGGCCTACCTTGAATTATCCACTTACTCTGCTATTTCACAACTCTGCACCTTTGCTTCTTTGTTTATCGAAATACTCCACTTCCATATAATGTAGGCCTATTTCACATTTTGTATGTTATAAGAAATTGTGATCTTACGACAATTTTGGAATTGAGACAGATTTCTGATTAAGTGAATACACATTATAATTGCGCTCATTTTATACATTATTATTATTATTATTATTATTATTATTATTATTAATTTTCCTTTGGGCTCCAGCTAATGATGTTGCTATTAAGGACAACGACGCATTTCTAACCAAAACTGTTTCTCTTAGTCAGATTTTATAATGACACTTCTCAATTATTAAAATATTAATTGTATTGAAAAAGAACATACTTATACATTTTTCTCGACGCATAATGACTGGCATGATTGCAATTACTGAAATGTTATTGTTTTCTTAATGATACAAATGACCTTGTTTTGTTTTTTACTTGTAGTTCTGTGTTGGTTATGTTTCCTTTTTTGGATCGTGTTTGCTTTATAATGACCCTCGATCTACTGAACAAGCCTTTGAATGAATATGTAATTGAAGAAAATTATTTCAGCTGAAACTTTCCAACATACGTGTATACACTTTCCCAAAACCTAATGAGAATTACCCCTCACAGAAATAATAAATCAGAACTGTTTCTTAGAATTCTTCCATTCTCATCAATAGTAATACTGGACGCCATATTCTTAGCAAAAGAAAATATATATATCGGAGAAATCATCTAAAATAAACTCAGGAATAAATTTTATTCCGAATATTGAGGATAGAAAAATATTTTCCGTATTTTTCTTGGAAGCTGGAAATTATTTACTGCATTGAAAGAGACTTCCGCTTGATTCTCTCCTAAGCTAGTTGAATTCAACCAACTAGGTCATGTCCTACTTTGTTAAGATTCATTAACCTTCAGCAAGTATTTCACATTGCTAGCATCAAACCTTTCCTCTTTGCACTGTACAACAAACGCAGATGGCGCCGCTTCTGGAGCTCTAGCAGCTCATGTCACGATCCTTTCTTAAAATTACATCTGCACTTAAATAAAATCACAGGTAACATCTACATATGCACACAGGCAGAGTATCAACTGCAGAACATAAAGACGATATGAAGGTTAAACATATTGCTTTTGGCAACTTCATTTTATACAGTCACTTCTAGCACGGGATGAATTCCTAACAGTCCTGATATGGGCAAAGGCCTTCAAGCTCGTGACCTGATGGTTAATTTTAAAAAACCAAAGGCTAATTTATAGTACTTATATAATTACATATTATTACAATTACTGCATATTATTATATATACATTAATATGTTACTTATATACGGTAATTGCGTGAATAGGGTAGATCAGAGTTTGTGAGGCCACTCATGTTGACATTTCAAATATGAAAATTTCACATTCACATCAAATTCCTAATAAAATATATTGTCATTAAGTCTCATATATAACACAACATGTGAACCGGAAGATTCTAAAGGGTTCTGACGATGGTGTATAATATTCAGAATTACCGGGGTTCTGGACTTTGTCCATCTTCCGATAAGCTAGAAACTAGAAAACACAACGCTTCGGAAACTGGATCTGTTTCCGTCCTCAGGTGTGGGGGGAAAACACCTTCTCTCTCGGGTATCTTAAAAAGAAATAACCTCAATCACCGGTCACATGATTGAGGTCCGCTCTTTCTAAGGGACCCAAGAGAGTAGATGTCTCCCCCACACTCACCTGAGGACGGAAGCATATCTAGTTTATGAAACCTTGTGTTTTCTAGTTTCTAGAATATCGGAAGATGGATAAAATCCAAACACCCGGTAATTCTGAATATGTAAACTGGTTTCTCCGATCTTAAAATGTCATTATTTGAGAAACCACCATTCATTATTAAAAAAGTCAGTGTTACAATTGTTGCGGTGTCTGAAACACGTGATGACAGACGCATGCGCTACATCACTTTCACTCTTTTACTTCCAGCGATGTTCTCAGTAGCTGAGATCACAGTCTCGAATGTTGGTGCGTCAGCAAACAATGTATTGGGAATAGTGTGACAGCAAGTAACCGTGGCCTAACTTCAGATACAATCCGGACATTTCACTTGAGTGACTGAAGAAACCCATTCAAAACTTCAGTCAGGATTGTTCGGCCCCGAGTTTTGAGAAAGGGACCGCCAGTATACCTTCTGACAGCGACAATCAGCACTGCAGCAGTAATTTAAAGGACCAGATTAAATTGTTTCCATTAGCACGAAACAACCTGCAACACATTATGGTGCGGTGTGTTCAGTGTTTCTCAATACTGTTATGAAGAAACACTTTTTTTTTTTCCGGCTCAGTTCCCTTTAGGATGCTAACCATTTGAAATACTACGTATGAGAACTTTAGCAATGTAGCAATATGGCCCAAGTTGTGACGCTTGCGGCTTTTATTTTTGAGGGTTCCGAAACAATCTAACTACCTTACTGGTGATTTTCGTAGTCTTCTTCAATTTCTCCGGCAATATAGTAAGATAGTGCCTCAAATTAGACCACGTTCGCTCCTCACCATGTCTTTTCCAATATATCAATCGCAACAGTCGTCCACGTAGAGAGTTACTGAGAGCATCCAAATGCTCTGCAAATGAACTGGGAAATTGCGAACAGAACACATCTGAAGAGATCTGTCTTCTGGGACATAACGTTGTGTAGTCCGCTGAAATCCAACCAACGTTTCGGAAGAACATACTGCATGCATTTTCAGGGTGCAAGGATTAGCGAAGCAAGAAACCGGTGTGAAAGCAGGTGGCAAGCAGAAAAATCGGTTAGCCAGAAATTTTGGATTTTATAGGAAACAGAAGGGAAGTAAAAGAGAGTCAGTCAGTTCCTTGCTATTCGAACATACACCACTTCCATATATTTCATTTTTTCAATCTCTCTCAGTAATAGTCCTGTTACATTAAGAGCTTACCGATTTTCATATTATAACGCTTTTCGGAAATTTCCGGAGAGGACGTGAAAGACGAAAAATTGGTATTATACGATTATGTTATCTATGGCACATATACATACAAATTCTTATTTAACCACTCTTTACAGGTATCCAGACCTATAAAGGGTAGTTATAAATTAATTTGTTATTCAAGATATAACATCTGAGTTAATACATAAGGCAAATTTTCCCAGTTCCACGTTGCCTATCATCTCACTTGCTACACCTTAATTGACCACAAAAGAGAATGACGTCATAAATACTGCATGTCTGGATTCATGTTTTCTCCGAGGCAAAATGTCAACGTATGAAGAGAGAAACATGATGTCACAGAATACCACGTGCAAAATGTTTAACCTAACCTTGGGCCAGTTTATAAGCCATGCAAAGAAACTTCATACTCCGCCATCTTATTTTTACTTATGCTTACACATCTTAAGTAATTGATATAAGCCAACCAGGCCTAATGATGTGGACACGGTTTTTTGTTGAAACATTATTTCTTTCAGATGAAAGGGCTGCACTTCTGAGGTCGAATGGCAATGCGTTATTAACGACAAAGGTTGTGTCAGCAAGGTACTTACCCTGTCGGATCCTAATAGTATGGTTGGTTGTTCGTTTCAGAAGCTTCAAATTGTGGCTTTGGCCAATTTCTGTAATACAAACACGACACGATTGTAGGTTATCTTCGTGAATCTTGGGTTAACAGTAGTAACAAATTACAGACTTCGAAATGCATCTGTTCAATTTAGTGAGACTGTCAACAAGTTTATTTAGCAACACCAAGAGTCTCTACTGACCTCGGAAAGGGACTTGGGCCCAATCTTTGTTATGGATGAAGAAGAAGGGGAGGCAGTGGTCTCTGCGAAATGAGACTAAGAAATAGCTGATAAAAATTACTACAACTGACAACAAAGACTTTTATACACTTATACACTAAAATATAGATAAGCCAAATAAAATTTTACTGCATGTATTTCGACGTTTATTTTTTGACCTCAGAGATATTTGTGATCTCTTTGAAAGCTATTTTATCCCACATGCTTGGCTTTTGAAAAGTACTGAGGAGTTTTACGGGACACGCGGTAGCGTAGTTGGCTGGGGCACCATGCTACAAGCCGGAAGGTCGCGGGCTCAAGTCCCGATGAGGTCACTGGATTTTTTCAATTGACCTAATCCTTGTAGCCGCACTATGGCCCTGGGGCCGACTCAGCCTCTAACAGAAATGAGTACCAGGAATATTCTTGTGGGTAAATTGCGGACGGCGCGTAAGGCTGACAACATTACCGCCATCTTCGAGCAGATTGTCTAGATAATGTGGGACCCTCAATGTCTCAGAACCCTATGGGCCTCCAAGGCCTGTTACAGGGATAGCTTTTCTTTACATTACTTTACTTTATCTTACTTTACTGAGGTATTTTAGAGATAATAGTAATTTAGAATCTTATTAAATTACAAGTCAGCGTTTGTAATCCTCAAAAAACATATATAGTAGAATTTCTGATTTTGTGAAATATGCGACGATCATTGAGTATTTGGGCATAAGGGTCAAGAAGTAACAAATGGCAGGGGGAGAATTTTACAGTTTCTACCCTTAACCTACTATTCTCATATCTGATGGCCACTGATGCACAGTAATGTTGTCAACATTCAAATTGCATAAGGAATTAGGACAGTATCGGCAGACAGCGCGCATTTCGATTCTGTGGTCAGCTGAAAGCAATGAGTTTGTTTTATACAGCACAGCAGCAAGGCGTGCGTCCCGTCCAGTCATAACGCATCGGGAAAACGGGAACATTGTTGTCCTGTTCACTGCGCTCTGTTCTTCTCCTCTGTTTCTTGTCGTTGTTTTCTTGCATTCAGTCCTCCCCCATTCTGCTCTCTATCTCTTCTTCCTTCGCTTTTTCTCCCAGTCACCCTTTGTTTCTCCTCCTCCATCTCTCTTCTTTTCCATATATTCTTCCACTTCTTCCTTTTTTCCTCTTCCTCTCCGCTCTCTATTCACCTCCTATTCTTTGTTTCCGTCTCCTACTTCTCTTTGTACCCCTTCTCATTCTCCTCCTTCCGTCTCTCTCTTTCCATATCCCTCCTTCATTTCTTTTCTTCCATATTCACTCTCCTCAATGTTCTGATCAGCACAATTGTGCGTGTAGTCTAGAAGGGTTATGAGTTGCGGGTCCGTTCTACTTGAGCGGAGGAGCTTTGCACTGTACCCAAATCACTGTGTTCACCAATTGTATCCGGGTCAGAAAATTGAGAAAGTCTGTATGTCTATGCTGCAACCAATCATATTCACTGCTCCTCAGTGGCTGAATAATCGCAAAGCAACGATTTCGAAACCCACGATTGGGGAAGTCCATCGTCCTTGGAGCCACGGAAGTGCCGAAACAGAATGTCGATATGGAAGGCATCTGCAAGACTGGCAGCCTGTGTCATGCTGGAAACTTCTTGAGATTTCAATGTTACTTTCGCTTTCTGTTCTAACAGTTTGAGAACTGAATATCAAGAAGCTTACGAACCTGATGTCACTTAGAATCAAACGCCAGTAACATCTGTCGTTAGAGTGGGGAAGACCTTGTGCCCAACAATCGAATTATACTCGCGAAAGGCCTTAAATCTGAGAATTCAGATTTCTGATTTCTGGGACATGAAGCGCCTAGTCTTGTATGTGATAACGGGAGTTTCGGAGAACCTCTTGCCTCCACAATCACGGCATAATTCTCTTAAAGCATTAGCAGAACTCTTCTACTTCACAGATGGAGGAAACAGTTACGTTGTGATGTTGGTAAACACCCACCAAGCCAAATAGTTGTCAAAAACTCAAATTTTGTACTATATTTGTACAATTTACTTTATTAAAGGTCCACTACATATAATTATATAAGGTCTTTCCTAAAGTCCAATGTTACAAGGTTATTTCTTTATTTTATTCTGTCACCACAATAGGAATTATGGACACCCGACATATTCATCATTTTACATGTTTCTGCATATTAAGCCATCGTCACGTATCTGACTTTTGCATTCAGCCACATTCGTCTCTTTGTGTTTCAGCTTTGGCCAGTGTTTACATATTAAAATATTGTTTTTTTAGTTGCATGTAATTCCGTTATATGTAAAAAGGTGTGTCCATTTCTAAGATTAAATACTGGGATACACCTGCACATGAATGGAAAGATAAATAGCGGAAATATCTCACTTCCTGTATCGTGTTGTGAGCCATTTATAAATCATACGTTATGTGATACAGTCAAAATTATTTACAATGTGTAAAGCTCTCCCTGTAACAGACCATGGAGGCCCATTTGGTTGTGAGACGTCGTGGCCTGCACATTTTCTAGACAATCGGCTCACAGGTGGCGGTGAGATTGTACGTCTATTAATTCACGATCTATTGATTTATGACTTAACAAATCGATTTCGAAAAGTAAAAGCTTCTTTGTAATGATCAAACAAAACCTATAAAATTGTACCAATTACTGTAACATTTAAGGTACAGATTGCCGACTCAGCACCTTGACATTTAGCGAATCGTGACGCATTTCTCAAACGTCCTCAATAATAGACGCGTCAAGGAATGTGGGATATTTGTAAACGCACAAGGAACAAGTATAGTGTAGCAGTGAGAGTTTCAGTCAGCAGGAAGCGAGTTTATACTCATACAATGCATCAATGAATTAAATGCGATCTATTTTCTTATGCTGAACTTTATTGTAGGCCAGCTGAATCCGTTTCACATAATAATATCCTATATTTTTAACTTCCATTTTAATATTATCCTCAAATCCATGTTTTTGTCCCCATAGCTCTCACTACAAATTGCAACTCTGCATACATTTTTCGCTTCCCTATACATGCTACTTGTGCCGCCATCTCAACCTCAATTTCTTCAATGTTAATGTTTGGTGAAGCGTGCAAATGAAGAAGCTTTTCATTATATCATTTTCTGCATTCTCCATTGCTCCCCTACTTTTATGTACAAATAATCTTCTAAGTAATTTGTTCTCAGACACACTGCATCTCCATTTCCACACACACACACACACACACATAT